TTGTAGTTTTTTAAAGGAGATGTGTTTTAACGGTTTTTTTTTTTTTTTTTTTTTTTTTAACTAACAGAGGCAGCTTCTATTCCTATTCTTTCTCTGAACCCTTGAAGGTAATTTTCCTTAACCAGTTGGTATGTCCAAAATTAAGAATACTAACAGTAGCTAGTATTTTGTCCCCCTTACATCTGTCGTCCTTACAAGCACATGTACCAGTACAACTGTCGTTAATTCAACAGTTGGCTTAGTTTGAGCCCATAGTGTTGATAGCATTATCTAGGTCATGATGCTACCAACCCATCACTATAAAGTACACATGGACCACTCTACTGGTAGGACTATGTGATTTGCCCTCCTGTAACTTGCTTGGTTCCTCATGTGACCCTTGCTTTTATTATTATATCTGGCCAAGGTTGATCAGTCTTAGCTAGCAATGTGAAAAACCAATTGGTTCTTCTTCATAATACCCAAAATACAGCCATTTGACCCCCTAGTTAAATGTTCAAATATTTACCTACCTTTCTGTTCTTAACACAGACAATTTTTAAAAATTATTTTACTTAATTTTATTTATTCATTCATTTATTTTAATTTTACCAGAGAGAGACACACAAAGACAGAGAGGGAAAGTGAGAAAGCGAGCCAACAGGTCCAGGACTCAAACCGTGGTCGGCCATGTGAGAGTGTCCTGTGCCTTAACCACCATGCCACTTGCTGTTCCCCAACACAGTCAATTCTTTTATTTTTTGTTTAAAGAATTACTTTATTTAACTTTATTTAATTTATTTATTTTAATTTGACCAGAGAGGGACAGAGCGAGAGCAAGAGAGAAGACAAGCAAGCCACCAGGTCCGGGACTTGAACCACGGTTGGCCATGTGGGACTCTAGCGTCCCTAATCACTACACCACCTGCTGGCCCCACAGACAATTCTAAATAAACCAATTCTAAGTCATAGATGGGGAGTATTTAAATTTTCAAGTTTGTTTAAACAAATAGTTTAAAGATAATACAGAATTATTTACACAAAGAATTATGCCAGTATTTTACTGTGGTTGCCTTTAGGTAATACTAATTAATGATGAGTTGATCCTTCACACTTTTTCTGTACTTTCCAAATTTTCTATAATGCATAGATATGCCTTTGATAATCTGTGTGTGTGGGGGGGAAGATAGTTATAATAAAATAGAATCCCAAAGATTGCCTGTGAAAAAAAATTGGAAGGAAAATTACCAAAATACTAAAGAGTAGTTATCACTAGATGATATGATTATAGTTATTTTTTTCTTTTTGTTTTTCTTCTAATTTGACATAATAAACATAAATTACCTTAATGAAAGAAACAACAAAAATCACTAGACTTCTAAAACTTTTGTATTAAAAGTATTAAAACTTTCATTGCTTTCTATTTCATTTCATTCAGCTTTCATGTCTAATACTTCTTGTCAAACAACTTTTCTCCCCCCAGAGCCCTTTTTATCTGCTCCAGTTGCACAGACCCCATTAACTGGAATTTTACAACCTCGGCCCATTCCTGCGGGGGAAACTGTAATTGTTCCTGAAAACCTGCTGAGTAACTCAGGAGTAAGACCAGTAATTCTGATAGGTAAGGCAAAGGAATTCTAAGTTGCCTGTGAGTTTTGGAATCTTGGAGTATTTCTCAATTTCACTTTTGTGTGTTTATTCATGTGTTCATGAATGGGTTCACCATATGTTGACTCGTTAAGCATTTATTGGAGTCCTTTATTAGATATTAAGCATGTGATGAGAAGTTGGGAATAAAGCAAAGTCTTTTGCCTTCAAGGAACACTGTTGAATGTGGGAAGTCTGACCCTCCACCACCACCCCCCATACACCACCAGGGTTAGGCAATAACCATTGCAACACACTGTGATATGTGAGGAGTACAGGTTCACTATCAAGAACTACAAGAGTTCAGGAGAAAGAGCATACTTCTGCCTGGAGGGGTCTGAGAAGACTGAGCAGAGGTGATGTTTAAGCTGGGTCCTGGAGCATTAGTTAAGAGTGAACAATGTGTTTGGAGGGGCATATTCCAGCGTAAGGGAGCTAAACCACAGAGATGAACCAAGCTAAGCCAGCTAACATGTCCCATTTCGGAGACCCAAAAGGCACCACAGTAGCAGGTCTGAACCATATGTAGATCAGTATCTTTCAAAGTCAATTCTTCAAGGCTGTTTATAAGTGAAAGTATGGAAACTTAGGAGTCCTTTAATTTCAAGACTTACTTAGTGTCTTTTGTACCCACATAAAGAGTCTCTTTGCTTTGGGGGCTAGCCTAGACCAGAAGGAAACTGCTTGCTTTGCCTTTGAGACAATAAATAGGGTGCTGAAGTTCCACAGTCATTAGGGCGTGTTCATGTGAGGTATTATCTGCTTGTTGCAATTGGCCGGAGCCCACCCATGTGTATGGTTTTACTTCATGCTCCATCCTATCAGGCTTCTTTGTCCCTTGATCTTGGGTCTGTAGGAACTGGGAGAATCTTAATTGTTTAAGTTCCATATGGTTCCAGAAGTTCTTATTAAACATTATCATAGTACAGCTAAACTTTGGAAAGATAAGCAGAACATAAGGACCCTTAGGTCCTTTGGGGTCTGCCTTTTAGAAAGCCTCCCAAAGGGACTGTCCTCTCTGCCGTACCACCAAAATAAAGTTTATTTTCAACATATTTTTATCCCACTTATGCCTAAGGTAATTTGAGACTGTTTACTGATATTCAGGAAGAAACACTAACAGAAATAGCTAAGATGGCAGAAGGAGCAGGACTCCTTCAAACACACGCAACTGGTCGATTATTGCTGTCAATCAATGTGTTTCGTTTTTTAAAAAATGTTTTTAAGACAACCTCATGAAATGAGACATGCTGTTGGGGTTTGTTTTTTTCTGATGTTTGAATCTGAAAAGAAACTTGACAGAACTTTATCAGAAAAAAACTTTAGAGAGATTTTTGCTACAGGGCGTATGTGCTTGCTAGAGAGACAGAAAGACAGAAAGCAAGAAGTCATCCCCTAGGGGAGATGGCCACACCGTAATCTCTCCTCCTCTAGTCTTCTCTCAGGATCTCAGGCACGCATGCACATGCACCTGATGTGAGTTTGAAGCCGCCGCGTCCAGGACTCGAACCGTGGTTGGCCATGTGGAAGTCCAGCAGTGTAACCAGTATACCATCTGCTGGTCCCTATCAGAAAGTATTTTATCATTGCAGTTTTACAAAGGGCACAGAGATATTTTGCAAATTCATCAATCTTCTATATAATAGAATAGATGATATATTCACATGTCCAGTCTGTGGGAAACAAAGGAACATAATTTGACTATTTTACTTCGTGTTTATCTAATATAATGTGAGGGTAGAATTTGGAGCATCCAGGTGAATTCTCTAGGATTGATGTATTTGAGTGATTTGTTTTGAAGGCATCTCAGAGGGCAGGGAGTTTGGTTCTGCATCTTTAACTACAGGTAAGGAAAGGTACCTGGTTGGCTCTCACAAAGAAACTGAACTGTACTGACCTGCTTCTGTTGGGGCAGGCTATGGCACTTTACCCTATTTCTATGGAAATGTTGGTGACATTGTGGTGAGTCCTCTGCTGGTAAATTGCTACAAGATTCCACCGTTGGAAAGCAAAGATTTGGAACAACTAGGATTGACTGGCAGCCAACTCCTGAGCGTGGAAAACATGATTCTGCTAACCATACAGTATCTCGTACGGCTGGGTAAGTTATTTTTGATAATTATTTGCTGGTGACTATTTTTCTTCTTTTTTGTAATGTACTTTTCCTACCTCACATTCACTGACCTCCTATCTCTCTTATTTTCCTTCTTTCACTTCTAACATTCTTTTCCTTCAACCTCATTCTCTATCATGTTTTCCTTTCTTCTCCAGGCTTCTCAGTTCCGCTTCTTTGCCTTTTTGGGTGGTGGAAGAGATGAATTGCCCCACCTAGTGTCCAGTCAGCCTCATGACGCTCCAAAGGGCTGCAAAGTAGCCGCTGTCAGCAGACCCTGAAGGGAATGTCTGTAACAGCCCTCCCCGGGGAGTCTGGCCAGGCCACCTCTCTGAAAGCACATTTACCATCTGGAATGCAAACATCGCCATTGTCTTAGATGATTATTTTTCAGTTTTACACATAGCCTTTTTATCTTGTTTATTTGTTGCTCGACCACCCATCCTTTTTCCTTCTCCAGCTATACTCCTTTGATGCTTTCCTGCATTTAGGTAGGAACCATGGACCTCCCTGGAAGGTTCTCTAGGCTTGAGGTTAGGGGGATACATAGGTCATGAACCCTTCACTTCCTCTATTTGATATAGCCTCCTGAGCCCCACAGTGGGTGTATGCAGGTGCCCTGACAATACTGAGGTGATTCAGCAGTATTTACATCGAAATGTCCTTTATTTTGCAAACTGCAGTAGGCCATCTAATATATGCAGCCTAATTATACACCCAGGACTTCAAACCACGAATTTACTTTGAAAAATGTTCCGGATGTAAATTACTCATAAAAAATTTGGTTGGCAATCTTGTTTCTTGTTGTTGTTGTTTTATTTTCCTTTTTTTAATGTCAGAAAACACTTTGGTGTTAATAAATAATGAAACACTGAGCTAAACTGTTTTTTAAAAAAAAAAAAAAAAACAGCTGGGTCGCTTTTTAAAAATGACAAAAGTCAAGACTGGCAGGTGGTATGATGGTTAAGGCACTGGCCTCCCACATGGCTGACCGCAGTTCAAGTCCTGGAACTGGTGGCTTGCTTTCTCACTTCCCTTCTCTCTGTCTCTGTCTCTCTTTGGTCAAATTAAAATAATAATGATGAATAAGATAATTCTTAAAAACAAAACAAGCTTCAGCAGGCCAGATTCAGTCTTTAGAGTATCAGTTAATGACCTTAGTTAGAACTTAGTGTCCTAAGAGCCTGCTTTCATATGGTGGGGTTTTTTTTAACATCTTTTAAAGAATTATTTTATTTAACTTTTAATTAATTAATTTTAATTTGACCAGAGAGGGACAGAGCGAGAGACAGCGAGAAAGAGACAGAGAGAGAGAGGAAGGGAAAGTAGAAAGCAAGCCGCCAGGTCTAGAACTTGAACCAAAGTCTGCCATGTGGGAATCTCACACACTTAACCACCACACCACCTGCTGGCCCCCACATGGGCTTTTGAAACTTGTAAGCTTTCAGATCTCCCATGAGAGCCACTTTAATGATAGGACTTGCTAGTCATGCTTATTGAACGATAATAAAATTTAAAAATAACCTGAATCTACAGCTCATCTGATGTCATAATTATAATCGCTGCATACTGACATTGGATTATGGACTGACTGTATGTGTTCTAAGATTTCAGATCAGCTTCTTAATGTGCCCAGAATCAGTTAAACAAGACTACATAGAGCAATGCGACTATAGCACACTAAACCAAACACTACAGCATTTTTTTTAAAGTTTATTTCATCAGAGACAGGGACCCCTTACAAGGTCTTGTCATGTTGTGATTCCTCCCAGTCCCTACCTAGCCTTCCGGCCATTCAGGATCATAGGTGTTACCAGGTGTGCCCAGCGTGCTTAGGTCCACTCAGGAACTCAAATCCTGGGCCTTCCCTATGGCTCCAACATTGTGCATTGGTCCCCTGCCACCTGCACCACCACAGATGAGCCACTATGGCATTTTTTCAAGTCTTTTATTTAAGAGAGATTTTTGCTAAAGGGCACTTTAGCAAAAGTACACTTGCTGGAGAGACAAACATAAAGCAAGAAATCAACCCCCAAGCCACACCACAATCCCCTCTCCTCCATTTTCCTCCTGGGATTTTGGGCATGTGCACATACTCATATCCGTGAGTTTCTTGCCAGTCCAGGACTTGAACTCTAGTCGGCCATGTGGGAGTCCAGCGACGTAACCATTACTCCATCTACTGGGTCTCATTTTTTCAAGTCTTAATAACAACTTTGAAAATCATAGTCCAAGTTAATTACATAAACTAAATGATCAAACTAAAATGTCTTCCCTTTACTTACTAAAATCTCTTCTCTTAAAAAAAAGAAGAATCTCAATTTAATTACACAATACTCTTCTCTGCCCTACAGTATTAATTCTCCAGCATTTTCCTTCTAATCAATTAGGTCTCTCAATGTGCAACATGAATCTCTACCCCCCTTCTTTTTGTAATCCAAAGTTTGCACATTGGGAAACACAGCTGGGTCCCGCAGGTGGTATGATGGTTAAGGCACTGGCCTCCCACATGGCTGACCGCAGTTCAAGTCCTGGAACTGGTGGCTTGCTTTCTCACTTCCCTTCTCTCTGTCTCTGTCTCTCTTTGGTCAAATTAAAATAATAATGATGAATAAGATAATTCTTAAAAACAAAACAAGCTTCAGCAGGCCAGATTCAGTCTTTAGAGTTTCAGTTAATGACCTTAGTTAGAACTTAGTGTCCTAAGAGCCTGCTTTCATATGGTGGGGTTTTTTTTAACATCTTTTAAAGAATTATTTTATTTAACTTTTAATTAATTAATTTTAATTTGACCAGAGAGGGACAGAGCGAGAGACAGCGAGAAAGAGACAGAGAGAGAGAGGAAGGGAAAGTAGAAAGCAAGCCGCCAGGTCTAGAACTTGAACCAAAGTCTGCCATGTGGGAATCTCACACACTTAACCACCACACCACCTGCTGGCCCCCACATGGGCTTTTGAAACTTGTAAGCTTTCAGATCTCCCATGAGAGCCACTTTAATGATAGGACTTGCTAGTCATGCTTATTGAACGATAATAAAATTTAAAAATAACCTGAATCTACAGCTCATCTGATGTCATAATTATAATCGCTGCATACTGACATTGGATTATGGACTGACTGTATGTGTTCTAAGATTTCAGATCAGCTTCTTAATGTGCCCAGAATCAGTTAAACAAGACTACATAGAGCAATGCGACTATAGCACACTAAACCAAACACTACAGCATTTTTTTTAAAGTTTATTTCATCAGAGACAGGGACCCCTTACAAGGTCTTGTCATGTTGTGATTCCTCCCAGTCCCTACCTAGCCTTCCGGCCATTCAGGATCATAGGTGTTACCAGGTGTGCCCAGCGTGCTTAGGTCCACTCAGGAACTCAAATCCTGGGCCTTCCCTATGGCTCCAACATTGTGCATTGGTCCCCTGCCACCTGCACCACCACAGATGAGCCACTATGGCATTTTTTCAAGTCTTTTATTTAAGAGAGATTTTTGCTAAAGGGCACTTTAGCAAAAGTACACTTGCTGGAGAGACAAACATAAAGCAAGAAATCAACCCCCAAGCCACACCACAATCCCCTCTCCTCCATTTTCCTCCTGGGATTTTGGGCATGTGCACATACTCATATCCGTGAGTTTCTTGCCAGTCCAGGACTTGAACTCTAGTCGGCCATGTGGGAGTCCAGCGACGTAACCATTACTCCATCTACTGGGTCTCATTTTTTCAAGTCTTAATAACAACTTTGAAAATCATAGTCCAAGTTAATTACATAAACTAAATGATCAAACTAAAATGTCTTCCCTTTACTTACTAAAATCTCTTCTCTTAAAAAAAAGAAGAATCTCAATTTAATTACACAATACTCTTCTCTGCCCTACAGTATTAATTCTCCAGCATTTTCCTTCTAATCAATTAGGTCTCTCAATGTGCAACATGAATCTCTACCCCCCTTCTTTTTGTAATCCAAAGTTTGCACATTGGGGTATCTCTACCCCTCAACAAAACAAATTGCTCTAGAGTGTTAAAAAAAAAAATCTGTGTTCACTTTTCAGAATACAGCAAAAATATTTTTACATACCCTGTATAAGAGACATTTTAAAAATAAATCCAAACTTCTAAAAGGACGGTGTTAATACTATGGAGGCTCAGTTACTTAGAGATAACAGAGAAGAAAGGCAAGATTCTTCAGAGGAACCAGGCCTCTCTACTGCAATCACATTTTTAAAAAATCTGTTATTTCACAATCTGAAAATCTTTTGAAGTAGATAATGAAATAAGCCAATCCAGAGATTCTTGGAGGGTCTGAGTCTGTTGGAACCTTTTTTTGTTTTTTTTTTCCCCATGGAGGTAGTTCTATCTAAAAAGCCATCAGAACTGATGTCTGTGCTAAACCGAGTTACTAGAAATCAGTACTTGAAGGGAAAATTACTATTATCAAGCTTGCAGAGAGTAGAAAAAAGGCTCTTGCAATTTAGCTATAAAGGCTAAGGATGAAGAAGTGATTCGTGATTGGAAGCAAAACATTTTACTCTAAGAAGTCTCTTACCTCATTTCAACTTTAATACTTTTTTCTCCATTTCTCAATTCCTAACAGTAATTCAATTACATCTCCAGAAAAGTGAGTTTTTAAGGCAACAGAGAAGGCCGTGAACATGTTTGATGATTTTAATTTTCACAATGCCTTTATGTTTAGAATTAATTGTGCTGCCTAATAGGATGTGTTATTCAATGTGTTTAGAATAAATGGGTTGGGTCAGCCATTAGCATTGTGGTTAAGGCAGCTGGATCCCACATGGTTGACTGCGTGGTTCAAGTCGTGAACGTGGTGGCTTAAAAAGCACTCCAGGGGACCTGCAGATGGTGGAATGGTTACATTGCTGGACTCCCAGAAGTCAACAGTGGTTCAAGTCCCAGACCCAGAACTTAAAACTTACACTGGTCACATGTGTGCATGCCCAAAATCCCAAGAGGAGACTGGAGAAGAAGGGATTTTGGCATGACCATCCCCTCTGGGGAGTGATTTCTTGCCATCTGTCTCTCTGTCTCACCGGAGAGTACACACGCCCTATAGCAAAAATCCCTCTCTCTAAAAAAAAGAAAAAACAGAGAAGAACATTCCAGGTATGTATACGTGCACACCTAAAATCTTGAGAGGAGAATAGAAGAGAAGGGATTGAGGCATGGCTATCTCCCCTGGGGTGTGACTTCTACTCCCGCCCCCAGAGCAAGCACACACACACCATAGGGCAAAAGCTAAAAAAAGAACTGGAAAAAAAGAGATTCTGCTCCCCTACCTCTCCCTGGCCCCTCAACCAATCCTGGGAAAACAGTTTTTTTCCTATTAAGATTGTTTATATTTATAATGTCTAAATATTAATTGTCTTAAAATATTACTAAATTAATTTCCTTTTTATTTCTCTTTTAAAAAAAAAAATTTATTGCCAGAGGAAATGCATGCTCACTAAAAAGAAAGAGAAAGTATGCCCCCCCCCCACGTGGTCATGCTGCAATCCTTTTTCTTCCATTTCTCCTCCCTTCAGGATTTGGGGCATGCATGCACACATACGCTTTCTTTAAATCTCTGGGGCCAGAATTTGAACTGTGTTAACAGCCTCTTTCTTTTTTCTTTCTGTCTTCCTTCCTTCCTTCTTTCTTTTTAGTTCAAAAGAGAGGAAGAGAAAGAGGGGAAAGGAGAGGTCCAGAGATAGGCCTGGGACTAGCAGTTAGCATAATGGCTATGTTGCTGGACTCTCATGTAGTTGACCGCGGTTTGAGTCCTGGACCCGGTGGCTTAAACTTATGCCAGGCATGTGTGCATGTGTGCCCAAGATCCCGAGAGGAGAATGGAGGAGAAGGGATTGCGGTATGGCCATCCCCCCTGGGGGGTGATTTCTCGCTTTCTGTCTCTCTGTCTCTCTCTCTCTTTCTGGTGAGTGCTCGCGCCCTATAGTGATAAAAAACCTCTCCAAAAAAAAAAAAGTTACTTATTTAAGTTTATTTATTGTTGTTATAATAATAATAATTATTATTATTATTAAATTTGACCAGAGAGAGAGATACAGAGGGAGTGAGAAAGCAAGCTGCAAAGTCCAGGACTCGAACAGTAGTCAGCCATGTGGGAGTCCAGCACAAAACCACCATGCCACCTTCTTTTTTTTTTTTTAGAGAGAGAGATTTTTTTTCTATAGAGCACATGTGCATGCCAGAGAGATAGAGTGACAGAAAGCTAGAAATCACCCCCCAGGGTGGATGGCCACACCGTAATCCCTTCTACTCTATTCACCTTTCAGGAGTTTGGGCACGCATGCACGTGTGCCCAGCATGAGTTTCAAGCTCCTGAGTCTGGGACTCAAACTGTGGTTGACTATGTGCGAATTCAGCTATGCTACCATTACGCCATCTGCTGGTCCCAGCAGTCCAGTCTTTCTATGTTCTGTCATAGGGGCTCTTAGCTCTGGGCTCTGGGATGATTGCTTAGTTTCATCATAGACACTGACGCATTTGTGTCTGTTTATGGGACCCTGAGTTTCAAATCTCAGGTTTACACAGAAAAAAAAAAAAAAAAAAAAAAAAAAAAAGGGACTGACTGGAGAGGGTGAATATAATTTCACTGGTTTCAATTTAAATTCAGTGTAGAAATTGTAGTTCATATGTGTCATTCTGAGGCCTAGCATTGACTTGCTTATTTTGTTCTAAAGACTGCTTCTGATTCCAGGGACTGCTGGTCAGTCTAGGCTTAGCCCTAACCACAGTGAGGGACGAGGGCCAAGTGCCATATTTAACCTTCCAGGAGACTGTGGGATAACTAGACGAGGAGAGCATTCGTTATCTGGGGAAAGTGTAAGGCTGCCTAAAATATAAATTGGGAGTAAAAAATAATTTAACTTAATATTCCTTTGAACAGTATTCCCAAAATTAGATGTAGAGACAATATATTCACATGTTCTTCTTGGTACCTATGAATCGAATGGGAAATGAATGGAACTTAAAATTGATTATACACAGTAAATTGGTTTCTTATTTCATTAGTCATTAACAGTGTTCATAATGCCAAGTTAGTGGGTCAAAACATAGGCCACTTGTAGTGACTGCCTCCCTAGGCATGCAATGGAATTGAGACTCAGTGCACCCTCGTTTAAAGAGACCAGGAGTAGAATAAAGGAAAACAGAAGCCCATTTTTTTTGTTTTGTTTTTTTTTTTTTTGTTTGTCTGTGTAATTTCCCAAAGGGAAATGGTTAGTAGAGGCTCTTTACTTGAAACTACCCCAGGAAAAAGAGTGAGTGTGGTAAGCTTGAAGGGACATGAATAATGGCATGTGGGTGTGTCTCTCTCTCTTCTACCTGTGATTTTTAAAGCTCTATCTGTAATTCTTTTCAATATAGGTCCTGATCAGATACCTCTCAGGGAAGAATTTGAGCAAATTATGCTGAAAGCTATGCAGGAATTTACTCTGAGAGAGAGAACCCTGCAGATGGGTGCTCAGTGCATCCCTGTGACACCAGGACAACTCCCCTGGCTTGCTAGATTAATTGCGAGTGTATCTCAAGACTTGGTTCATGTGATTGTGACCCAAAACTCTTTGGCGGAGGGCATTTCAGAGACATTGAGGACGCTCAGTGAAATGAGACACTATCAAAGACTACCAGATTATGTCGTGGCAATTTGTGCATCAAAAATCAGAGGAAATGAATTTTGTGTGGTAGTATTAGGTGAGTGATGTGGGTTTTGTTATTAATATTATTATTATTATTACTTTGCTGTTGTTTATTTCATTCACCCAATGATCTGTCATTTGATAAATGTTTATTGTGTGTGTCAGGCATCCACAAATCAACCTCTGGTTAACTGCTCCAACGTGAGCTCTTTCTCCTCATTTTAACTCTTCCCGCCTCAGATCAGGTGTCCATAGCCTTCAGTCTGGGTGGTGCCCTGTCTGCCAGTTGTGCAAGCATTGCTGCAAAGCTTGCCCTCGTAACAGACACCCTTGTCTCACGGAACCTCTGTCCTTAAAAGATTTTGGAAATGTGACCACTTCTAGGGTGAGATAGAGCCAGTGCACAGGTGGCCTAAGCCAGTTAATCAGATTTGCCAGAAACGTAGCTCATGTATTGATATTTCCCTCTTCACTGAAAAGTCTATTTAATGGTACAACATCAACTTTTTTTTTTTTTAATTTTTCTCATAGAGCACCTGTGCTCGCCAGAGACAATGAGAGGAATTGTGAGAAATCGCCACCCAGGGGGTATGGCCACACTGCAATCCCTTCTCTTCCATTCTTGTCCTGGAGTTTGGGGCACACATGCACACATGCTTGGTGTTATTTTCAAGCCAGCAGGTCCAGGATTCAGACTGCAGTCAGCCATATGGGAGTCTAGCACCTTAACCACTATGCCACCTGCTGGTCCCAAGGCAAATATTAATAATAACCATGCAAACCCATTTTTATAAGATTGTTTTCATCTTCTTCCCTAGGCTTTAAACACACGTAGGTATATGTTTTCATGATTACAAACACAAGGGGCATCATTTTTGCAGTGTTGACCTAGCATTATATTAGAAACATTTTCTGATATTGTTTATAGTTTTCAAATGACATTTCAAACTCCACATAAGAGTTCACATGTTTTGATGTTCTGTGACGATCTTAACCACATCCCTGCAGCTACAGACTTCTGTTGTTTCCAGTTGTGACTTTCATGAATAACCTTCTTCCCCACCATCCTGCAGGTCAGCATCAGTCCCGAGCTCTGGCAGAGAGCATGCTCACCACCAGTGAGTTTTTGAAAGAAATTAGTTATGAGCTCATCACAGGAAAGGTCAGTTTCCTGGCATCACATTTCAAAACCACGTCTTTAGGTGAGTGGTTGTGCTATTCAACAACATGGCCAGCCCCTGGCTGTGGGATTTTCTGACCTTAAATCTCAGCCTGTCAGGGAGAGCAGTGTGGAGTTTGTTAGTCAGCTGATCTTCGCCTTTGAAGATTTCTTCTGGGTATTTTGTTACTGACACCACAGGAAGCAGCAAGGGCTCCAAGGGAAGGCACATCCATACTAGGATCAGAAGCCTCCGTTCAGCCATGACCTTGTTGAGTGACCGTCAGCAAATCTCTCTCTGATCTCAGGGGTTTTAATTTTTTTAGAATTATTTACTTTCTTTTATTTATTTATTTATTTTTTTTTTTCAATTTGTCCTATAGGACACATACACTCACCAAAGAAAGACAGAGAGGCAGAGAGAGAAAGTGAGAAAACAAGCCGCCAGGTCTGGAACTTGAACTGTGGTCAGCCATTGTGGGAGTCCATTGCCTTAACTACCATGCCCCCTATTGGCCCAGTGTTTTGTTTTTGTTAAATTTTGAAAGTTTATTCACTTATTTATTCCATGAGATAGAGAGACAGGCACTCCCCCCAGGACCTCTAGGTCTCAGCAAGCTTCAGTCATGAGCATGCATGCATGTCAAGGGTGCTCAGAGAGGTACCAGGATATGAACCCAAGACCTTCCTGGTGTGCATTACCACTGTGCCACTACCTGGCTCAGATCCGAGTTTTCTAATATGTTGAGCATTCTCTATCCCCAAACTCAAAATCCGAAATGCTCTAAGTGTTGGAAACTTTTTGAGTACTACCATGATGTCAACAAGTGAAAAATTTCACACCTGATCTCAAGAGACAGGTAATAGTCAGTATGCTACATCACAAACATATTGTGTCAAATGACATCAGGCTATGTATATAAGGTGTATGTGAAACAAATGAATTTTATATTTAGTCTTAGAGCCTATCCCTAAGACATCTCGTTATGTGCATGCGAATATTACAAAATCCATAAAACTCTGAAATCCAAAGTACTTCTTTACCTAAACATTTTGGATAAGAGACACTCAAACTATAGAATTATTCTATCCTGCCTGCTTTTTTTTTTTCCCCGCTGTGAATTGCCTGTTAGGTCTCTTAACCTGAATGTTTACCTTTTTCTACTTGTTTTGTAAAAATTCTGTATATTAAAGCCATTAATCCTATGTCATTTATGGTATACATTTTCTCCTCCCTCATTTATTTTCTTTTTTGTTTACTTATGTACACATTTTATTTTAGCTTTTATGTGAGAAGCATAGTCTTTAAGGCTTTTCTTTTTGTTGTTATGCTCACATACTCCTTGCTCTCTCTCTTTTTTTAAAAAATTTTGCCAAAGGGCACATAAGCTCACTGGAGAGAGACAGAGAGAAACAGAGACAGTGAGATAGCGCCCTCTATGGGGAATGGTCACACCACAATCCTTTTACCTCTACCTCTCCCTTCTTTTGTGATCTTGGGCATGTATGCACTTTCAGCGGGCATGTTTCTCAAGCTGCCAGGTCTGAGACTTGAACTATGTTATCAACCATGTGGGATCCAGCCCTCACCATGCCACTCACTGGCCCCTGCCTGCTTTTTAATTTTATGGAGGTCAAGAGATATAGTATGTATGAGCCAGGGATGCTCAGAGAGGTCCCAGGACATGAATCCCAGACCTTTCTGATGTGGTTCAGTTGCATTACCACTGTGCCACTACCTACATTATGTGAAAGTGTATAAATTGTAAGCATGATACTTATAACCTAAGTATCATGATGACAACAGTTCTTGCTATAGAGACACCACTATAGCAATGACCAGATGTAAACTCTGTCATGAATTGCTGGCTGGCCAGCAGATCTTGCTGAGAACAAGCTTAACCACTCAACTGAGAGCTGATAAAAATGACAGAAATATATCATTCCTTCTTTATTTCATAATAGGCGATGACCTGGACAAGCTGCTAGAAAAAATGCAACAAAGGAGAGGAGACAGTGTGGTTACCCCTTTCAATGGAGACCTTAATGAATGTGTATCACCTCAGGAAGCTGCTGCTATGATTCCCACACAAAACCTGGGTAATGTCACCTGAGACCAAGAGAAGGAAACCACCCCTCAGGGCAGACATTATAGGAGCTAAGTCATTCTGAGGGCCGCGAGGACACATTTTTAGTCATAGACCATGACAGGCTCTTCTTCATTGTCTACAAGAAGATCTGGTTCAAATTAGAAACATTTATTATGAGGCCTGGATCAAATGTCTTGCTTTTACTAAAAGTCTTTTAGAATTAAAATCAAAGTCAAAGACTTTCTCTTAAGCAGGCCCTTCTTTTCTCCGAGTGATTCCAGAGTCCTCGGTGCCTTTTCCATAGCTCTATCAGCTGTTCCCAGACAGTTGCCACGCTTGCTGAGGGCTTCAAAGAACCACTTGGAAAAGTCTAGACTACAATCCATGCAGGGCCCAAGGCTCCTCCTCGTCGCTTATTCCCTGACTTATAAAACTCATGTAACCTCAGAAAGAGTGAGGCCTTCCTGGCAGATGGGGCAGCAATACAGTGCATCATCTGCCTGCAAGCTGCTGCAGCTCATGGGGGCACTGTGGGCCTGGGATGAGGAGTCCACTCATGAGACTGGATTCCTGTGCATTGAGATTCCTTCCCTAATTTGCTGAGTGACAGGGGACAACATAGGAGAGGATGGAAGACAGAACAGGAGAAAGGATAGATGGGAAACAGACCCGTCTAAGCTGCCGCTGACAACCATTTGGCCTTCCCTTGATAGGAATGCATCATTTATATATTAGGATTGCCTCACACAATCAAAGTAGCATGGCTTGACCTCAGCTCAGTCATAAAAACAAATGCAAACACAAGCAATACAATGTTTTGACTTCCGGACTGCATTGGTAATAAAGTGGTGACCCAGAGGATCTACAATGTGTCTATGTTAACTGTTCCAAATTGTTCACAAATTCAGAATTTAAAAATTCTGAGGGTACTTAGAAATTTCCAAGTACATATCCTTGGTTCCCCGTTTTTAAGAATCATTGCGTAAAGCTTTTAAAATAAATTTTTATGTTTTCTCAAACTTTAAATTTTGCGAAGTTAAGTTCTATACCTTTATGTATATATTTAGTTCTCACCCACCCAACCCGTGAAATGAAGGAAGGAAAAACCAGTCCCACTGTGTTAGAAGACAGGCTTACTTTGATCAGCCTTAGCCTTTGCAGTGTAAAAACGACTGGGCTGACAAGTAAAAAAAAAAAAAAAACTGGGCTATTAAAGTTGCAGTGCTGGGACTACGGTTGGTGCGTTTTCCTTAGCTCTCCCAGCTGGGGTACTGGGACTACTGTTTTTGCTTCAGCTGCATTGAAATTTGATTTTAGAAAACATTAATTAGGTTCTTGTAATTCAGTTTCCGTCTAACTGCCAAATACGTTCCTGATTTTAAAACAAAACAAAACAAAGCAACCTGTTAAAGAAGTAGCTGTCGCCCACTCCAGTGTCTGACTGAGCTCATGTCTTTCATCGTGTGTGCATGTGCGTGCACATATAAGAGAGACTGATCGCTTGACTCTATCTTGCGATAAACGCTGCTGGCACGCTGAGTGTATCTGGGCAGTGTTTCCTAATACTTGGTCTCCCGCATGGCCAGCTGGCTGTGCCGTGACTCAGGGCTCTTCAGATAGCACAGGCGTCAGCACTGGAGTTGGCCACAACCACCTAGGCCTGCCAGGTCATAAGCACTGGCAGAGTCGAGCCCAGTGGGAGGAGAGGTGAGGGTTATGTCTCTGTGACCTACGTTATGTAGTCACCAGAAGGGCAGTTTGGGGTCATGCTGCAACTAACTTGCTGAGGAGGAAAATTTTACTGTGGTGCCATCCGGAAAAGTGCAAAGGACTCAACTGTACTTTAGTTACTGCATCACCTGTTTCTCCAAACTGGGAAACCCTCCCCCTTCCAGAGATAAGTCCTGGCTCTGGCTGCGAGAAGGTAGCCTGTCTCCACCATTTCTGGGTTGGGGTGGGAGGTGTTGAATTAGGGATTTGTAAGACCATCAATCAATTTTAAAGCAAATACACCTGTGAAACTGCCATACCCACTCCTCAGCACATGTCAGCCAAGTTTTCAGGGAAAACAGGCAAGTCTATTAAAACTCAGTGAGAGTACAAATAGCAAGTGAGAATTCCTGGTGGTAGAGCATTACTTTTCTGTGTGTGTGTCAGATGTCCCCATGTGGATTCATAGTGGTCATCACGGAAGTAAATTAACATTGATCTTACGACTTTTTCATCTTAGATTTAGATCATGAAACCTTCCAAATTTATCAACCACAGCTTACAGTTGCCAGAAAACTGTTGTCCCAGGTGTGTGCTATAGCAGATAGTGGCAGCCAGAGCCTGGACCTCGGCCACTTCAGCAAAGTGGACTTTATCATCATTGTCCCAAGATCGGAGGTTCTGGTCCAGCAGACTCTTCAACGGATTCGACAATCAGGTAAGAGGAAACTTTCAAAGAGGATGCTTTCCTAGATCCAGCCTTAAATCCCCTCTGCCTCTTTCTTAATCCAAATGTTTATAGTACACTTAAAATTTTCTTTAGGGGGCCAGCAGGTGGCGTGGTGATTAAGGTGCAGACTTCCACATGGTTGACCACAGTTCAAGTCCTGGACCTGGGAGCTTGCTTTCTCACTTTTCCTCTCTCTCTCTGTCTCTCTGGTGAGCACACGTACCCTAGAGCAAATTTAAAACAATAATAATAAAATTAAATGAATAATTATTTTTAAAAATACTTTCTTCAGTAACAAAATGTTGCTTCAAATTTATCAATAAGTTTCCCCTCAAAGTTCTCTGGCCTTCTTCTCTCCACGGTTGAAGGTAAGCTGACGTGCGATTTTGCCAGATACTAAGTCCATGATGTAACCCGTGGGACTGGAACCTGGCCACTCACTTACAAAGAGACTTCCCAGGCAAGCACTTCTTCCACTCTCAGATGGGTCACATTCTTTCGGTGACACCTTGGACAATTAACACATTACCAGCACATCTGCCCCCCAGGAACCCAGAACCCACCCCCAGGCCAACAATGAGAAATCTCACTACAAAAATACAAGGTTAGAATTATACCTAATAACTTTAAGAGAATAAGTCTGGAGGAAAAAATATCTTCCCAGAAAATATAAAAAGGTAGAGAGCAGGGGACCAGCAGGTGGCATGGTGGTTGAGGTGCTGGACACTCCCACATGGCCAACCATGGTTTGAGTCCCGGGCCTGGTGGCTTCCTTTCTCACTTTCCTTTTCTCTCTCTCTTGTGTCTCTCTCTGGTCAAATTAAAATAAATAAAAATTAAATAAATAATTTTTTAAAAGGTAGAGAGTAAAAATTTTACAAATATGTGATAAATAATATCCCTTTTCAAAAATAAAATTTTCTTGGACTTATAAGAAATTATAAGGTATTTAGAAAATTGAGACAGCTAGAAAACGCTTACATTTGCAAAAGTTTGAAAAGAAAATCATAGTTGCTTCTGATTACCGTAGCTGGGGTAAAGACGTGTGCACACACACACACACACATATGCACACTTTTTAGCTGGAAGATGAATCTTTTTGCTACAGTAAAGAATTTTACTTTTAATATATTTGAAAACAGGGAAACAGAAAAATTCAGAAGAGCTTACAATGTGGTTGATGTTTCATACCTATAATACAGTGCCTCTCAAACTTTACTGTACATGCAGATCACCCAGGGATCTTGTTAAAATGCACACGCGGCAATCTTATTAAAATGCAGATTGCCAGTGACCAGCAGGTGGCGTGGTGGCTAAGGCGCTGGGCACTCCCACACGGCCAACCGTGGTTCAAGTCCTGGACTTTCTCACTTTCGCTTTCTCTCTCTCTCTCTCTGTGTGTGTTGTGTGTGTGTGTGTGTGTGTGTGTGTATGTGTGTGTCTGGTCATATTAAAACAAATTAATGAATAAATAAAATTAAATTTTAAAAATAATTCTTAAAAAAATGCAGATTGCCCTTTAGTGGGTCTGGGTGGGCTGTGGATATGCATTTCTGACAAGCTTTGGGGGTGCCAATGCCGTGGTCAAGACTACACTTTGAATAGCTGATTCTGTTAAGTAATCTTTTGCTGTTAGCTCCAGGGGCCAAATGAGTGGCTGAATATATATAGAGTGATCTGTGGACTCTGAGCATAACATTTTAGTAGAAATTGAAGCTGGAAACCAGATTATAATGGACATTAAATATGGTGCTATAGTTGGAAGCTTTAGCTAAGGACGAATAAACTGTAAGTCAAAATCTATGTGTTGTCTATGCATTTCAGAAGCCTGACACAATATATTGGCTTATAGAACGTTTACAGTAAATTGTATTGAAACGATCTAAATAGAACATTGAAATACTGAAGTTTCCTTGGAGAAACTTAGTCCCAGGACACTTAATTTTTTTCATATTTACTCTTGTAAAAATCAGTAAAAAAACATGTTCTAATAAGCACCAAATTTTTATCTAAATTAATGCACCCTTGTACTTCTTAATGTATTTTCATAGGCCATTTAGGATTCTTAAACCTCTTAATTTTTATACACACTGACACTGTTAATGAACAGAAATCTTGAGTTCTTGCCCCAAATCCCAAAGCTGATTATTGGCTGAATTTTTTTATTATCTCCAGAGTCTGTTAACTTTCAACAGTTTTTCCCTTCCTCTATTATACTGCCTTTTTTTTTTTTTCTAAAAGGAATACATTTTCCATTCTCAACAATGAAGATGAACTCTACTGTGTAAGACTAAATGAGCTGACTACTGGGAGTTGTAATTTTGTCTTGGGTTTACTGGCCTGGGAATCTACAGCGTAAGCATGTGTTGTTCCCTAGGGGAATGGCTTAAGTGCAACCAGGACCACCTGTTGTTGCTAAATGCTTTCTCAAGCAGTTCTTAGTACCAGAGGGGGTGTGAATGTTAATGACAAGTTGTCTCCAGTAAGGAGGGGAATATATACTTTTATCCAGATGACTTTAACATGTTGATTTTTGCATTGTAAGATATCAAAAGAATTAGAGACATTTTCCCTTTCCTCTCAGTGGGTGTTATACATCTGTGGCAATTGCCTGTGAGCCGTACAAAAAGGAGCACTAGACAGTCTAGACCATTGGCTTATGAACCAAGGACATGGAAAAATATTTTGGAAGCAACTTCATGTGTAAAATCTGACATAAATGGGCTTGCTGGGATACAAGTAAAGTTTGGTGAGCAGTATCAAAGCCAGCACAATGTTTTAAAGTACCCATGTTGGCATGAACAGTAAGAGGGAATCTAAAGAAGAAACTCAGAGGGACTGCTTTCTTATGCTTTTAAGAGGAATGACTATTTAAGTAATTTTCTCAACTACAAAATTCAGGAAGAGTATCTCTGGAAGTGGTCTTGGTGAATCCATGACAACCAGATCAATATAGTGACAATGTGAACAACAAAATACACACACACACGCACACACACACACACACATATGCACACTTTTTAGCTGGAAGATGAATCTTTTTGCTACAGTAAAGAATTTTACTTTTAATATATTTGAAAACAGGGAAACAGAAAAATTCAGAAGAGCTTACAATGTGGTTGATGTTTCATACCTATAATACAGTGCCTCTCAAACTTTACTGTACATGCAGATCACCCAGGGATCTTGTTAAAATGCAGATTGCCAGGGACCAGCAGGTGGCGTGGTGGCTAAGGCGCTGGGCACTCCCACACGGCCAACCGTGGTTCAAGTCCTGGACTTTCTCACTTTCGCTTTCTCTCTCTCTCTCTCTGTGTGTGTGTGTGTGTGTGTGTGTGTGTGTGTATGTGTGTGTCTGGTCATATTAAAATAAATTAATGAATAAATAAAATTAAATTTTAAAAATAATTCTTAAAAAAATGCAGATTGCCCTTTAGTGGGTCTGGGTGGGCTGTGGATATGCATTTCTGACAAGCTTTGGGGGTGCCAATGCCGTGGTCAAGACTACACTTTGAATAGCTGATTCTGTTAAGTAATCTTTTGCTGTTAGCTCCAGGGGCCAAATGAGTGGCTGAACATATATATATATTTTTTTTAGTTTTATTAATTGCCAAAGATTATATGTGCTTGCAAAAGAGACAGAGAGAGAGAGCAATCCCCAGTGGGACATGGTCACACCTCAATCTCTTCTTCATTTTTCTACCCTGCCAGGATTTGGGCATGCATACACATGTGCCTGGCATGTTCTTCAAGCTGCCAGGACCAGAATTCAAACTGCAGTCAGCCTTGTGGGATTTAGTTCCCTTAACCACTAGACTGTGGGGCTAGCCTGATAGTAGCTTTGCCCCTCTCTCTTTAACTTCTCTTGGTGACTATGATTGATGTGTGGAAAGTCTTGTCCTAATCGTATGCAGCTCAAGTGCCTGGTTAACGATGCAGTTTTCAGGACCAGCAGATGGTGTAAAGGTTACGTCCCTGGACTCCCACAGTGTCCACCGCGGTCCGAGTCCTGGATTCAATGGCTTAAAACTCAGGCCAGGCACGTGTGCATGTGTGCCCAAAATCCTAAGAGGAGAATGGAGGAGAAGGGATTACAGCATGGCCATCCTCCCAGGGAGTAATTTCTCACTTTCTCTCTCTGTGTCTCTCTAGTAAGCGCACATGTCCCATGGTAAACATCTCTCTTAAAAAAAATGCAGTTTTGGGAATCAGCAGTTAGTGTAATGGCTATGTCGCTGGACTCCCATGTAGTCTACCGTGGTTCGCGTCCCGGACCCGGTGGCTTAAAACTCACGCTGGGCGCGTGTGTGTGCGTGCCCAAGATCCCGAGAGGAGAACGGAGGAGAAGGGATTGCAGCATGACCATCCCCCCCTGGGGGGTGATTTCTCGCTTTCCGTCTCTATGTCTGTCTGTCTGGCGAGCGCACACGCCCCATAGCAAAAAAACTCTCCAAAAAAAAAAAATGCCGTTTTCTCTTTCGGGTCTCTATCTGTATTAAGCTACAAAAAGACCTGTTGGAAGTAACATCTTGTAGGTGATGAGCTAGAAACGGTCAAATGCCTTCTCTCACAGCTGTCCCAGGAACCAGGGTGAGTTAGACTCCTCTGACTTCTGGCCGTTTTTAATTCTCCTTCTGCCCTCCTGTGTTGTGGGAAATGCACAGGCTGCTGTCACACCACGCGGTAACCAGGATTTTGTTATTTGTTACGGGTTCTCTGCTTCCATAACCCGGACAGAGGGAGTACGTTCTCTTTTAGGTGTTTCACTTGTGCCGGTTGGCATTTATGGCCTCTCCAAGTTTGTTATCTGATATCCTGAGTCAGGCTTGAACAAGGACCGCACAGCACCTGTCTGAAGTGACGGAATCACCTGCAGAGCCGTTCCTGAAATAACCTCTGGGTGACTGGCACTTTCATCTTTCCTAATATATGCAGGCCCCCAAATAGACCTTGTGTTTTTGACAGATGAAGAACTTGTGTAAGTCTTC